AAATGTGTGTATCTGTCAATCTGTTTACAGTATGTGGTTGTTCTAAATCTTACTATATCAAAATTTCTCTCTCAATGTTTCTAATAAAGTGAGAAACAAAATGCAAACTGGCACTCCATTCCTAGAGCACAGCTTCTTAAACTATGGGTCCCGACCCCAAATGGAGTGCCATAATAATAATAATAATAATAATAATAATAATAATAATAATGATATTCTTATATCCCACCAACATCTCCCCAAAGGGACTCAGAGCAGCTTACAGATGGCACGAAGTGCCTAAAAACACACATAAAAGTGGACACAATATACAATACATGCACATATAAAAACATCAATTCAGACTCAATCAACCTGTGATCCTCTAACCATGGCGGTAAATTACTGGCACCATGGCTGGGCTGTAAACATTGGAATAAAATAAGTGCCAGCTGCTGTAATGGAGAGAGGGCGTGGGATAAAATACAGGATGTGCAACTACTACGTAGGACAACTAGGGGCTAAATATTCTCAAAGGCTTGATTGAAGAGGCATGTGTTCAAGTCCCTACAAAAGGAGGACAGTGTGGGGGCCTGTCAAATCTCCCTGGGGAGGGAGTTCAAAAGCCGGGGAGCCACCGCCGAGAAAGCCTTCTCCCTTGTCGCCACCTACCACGTTTGTGACGTGACTGGACCAAGAGGACGGTTTCCCCGGCAGATCTTGGAACCTCAGGTTTCGGCGGTGACCAGGGGAGCATTTGCACAGTTAAAACTCGTGCGCCAACTGCGCCCGTACCTTGGGAAGTCTGACTTGGCCATGGTAGTCCACGCTCTGGTTACATCCCGTCTAGACTACTGCAACGCTCTCTACGTGGGGTTGCCTTTGAAGACGGCTCGGAAGCTCCAGCTAGTCTAACGCTCGGCAGCCATGATACTAACAGGAGCGGAGCGCAGGGAGCATACAACTCCTCTGCTGCACCAGCTCCGCTGGCTGCCGATTTGCTACCGGGCTCAATTCAAAGTGCTGGCGTTGGCCTATAAAGCCCTAAACGGTTCTGGCCCAAGTTACCTATCCGAACGTATCTCTGCCTATCAGCCCGCCAGGACCCTAAGATCTTCTGGGGAGGCCCTGCTCTCTATCCCGCCTGCTTCACAGGTGCGGCTGGCGGGGACGAGAGACAGGGCCTTTTCTGTGGTGGCCCCCCAGCTGTGCAACGCCCTTCCTATTGAGGGAAGATCAGCCCCCTCGCTAATGGTGTTCCGAAGAAGATTAAAAACTTGGATGTTTGAACGGGCATTCGGTTAAACAGTGCAATGAATGTGATGATTACAGGAATGGAAATTTGGATGACGGATTGGATCACGACTCTAGTTATGAGATGCATTGTGTTGTCTATTGTTGTGTCAATATTGTATATTATGCTTTTATGGTTTTAAATTGTATATCGTTGATTGATTCTTATCCTTGTTGTAAACCGCGTTGAGTCGCCTGTTGGGCTGAGAAACTGCGGTATACAAGTAAAGTAAAGTAAATAAATAAAATAAATCTTAGAACCCGCGTCGGTTCATAGGGGGGATACGGTCATGAAAATAGGCAGGACCAGAGCTGTTTAGGGCTTTACAGGTGATAACTAGAACTTTGAATTAGGACTGGAAACTTATCTGCAGCCAATGAAGCTGCTTTAGTAGGGGCGTTGTATGCTCCTTATCAATGTTGGGGTGACAAAAATTTGGCAACAGTAAAAGATTTCTGATTGCCTCCTACACATTTACACAAATCTGTTAGCAACAACGTGCAGTGTTTAAAATGGACTCTGCAGAAAATGCTTCAGCGGTACTCCACAAAAAGGGAAATCAACCTGTTTAGCAAGCCTTGTGAATGCTGATTTATTATCAGTAAATTTTAGATTTTTATACCTATTTTATATATCTATATATATCTATAATTTTAGATTTTTATACCTATTTTATATATCTATATACCTATATATGTCATGCTGGCCACATGACCTTGGGGGTGTCTATGGACAACGCTGGCTCTTCAGCTTAGATATGGAGATGAGCACCATCCCCCAGAGTTGGACACAACTGGACTTAATGTCCGGGGAAAACCTTTACCTGCTACTACCTATATATACACCTATATACCTATATAGATATATCTATATACCCATTTTATATATCTATATACCTGGAGTCGCATAAACCTTTCTCAGGTAGAAGGGGGTAGGAAAAGCTTTAAAAGCCCTGTTCGAAAAGACTTACAAGCAGATTTCCATAAAACTAATTTGCCGCTATGTGTGTCTAGGGAGGGAGGCTTAAACCCACATCGTAATATCTTTAAATTGGACTAGCTTCCATTAGGAAGGCAATGGCAAACCCACTCTGAATAGATCTTGCCAAGAAAACTCCATGGCAGGTTCATCTAAGGCAAACAACAACAAAAACAGCATCCATTACCTTAAGTAGTCACTCAAAAATATTTTCTCTCAGAATTATGCTTCACTGGGACATGCACCTGCTTTTAGGATAAAACGATGGCCTTTGAAAGCTATCCACCTAGCCTGAATCTAGGATGTGCACCTAGTATTGCTGCACATTTTCCACAACTACTGAGATGGTTTCCTTAATTCACAATTTACAGGGATTGAAGAAACCACTGAATCAGGACGATGTAGTGGTTTACTTTGACTCTGGCTTGATTCCCTGCTTGCCCATGGAAAACCACGGGGCGGGTCACACTCTTTAGTTCCCCCAAAACACCCTGAGAAGGATCATGTTAAGCCAGAAATGACTTGAAGGCACACAATAACAACCAGGAGAAACCATCAGCAACAACACATGAAGTGTAATTCCGAGTGCTGCTAGGCAAGCATGGGCAAATTTGGGCCCTCCGGGTGTTTTGGACCTCAACTCTCACCATTCCTAACAGCCTCGGGCCTCTTCCTTTTCCCCCTCAGCTGCTTAAGTGGCTGAGGGGGAAAAAGAAAGGGCCTAAAGCTGTTAGGAATGGTGGGAGTTGAGGTCCAAAACACTTGGAGGGCCCAAAATTTGCCCATGCCTGGCTAGCCTATTATTTTTCCATCCACAAACTCCAGCAAGTTCAGTCATATTCTGAGATGAACTGTTTATTTCACACCCTCAGCCATGCCTGTGCAATTTGCTTCAAATGTTTTTCATCCTTCTGCAAAAAGTACAGAAGGGACCGCAAGAGGAAGCGCTGCTGACAGGAGCAAGAGATGGTTTTTTAAAAAGGAAGGACTGAAAATAAAATCTGACATGAAACTATCTAGGTGAAAGTAAACCTACAAAGGCATTGTGCCTTCAAATTGCCTGTGGACTTATGGCAATCCTATACATTCCAGAGGATTGCCTTAAGCATTGATGACCGGCCTGGAATAATGAAGGACCCTGTCGCTCATATGCCTAAAGTCTTAAACGAATACTGTTAAAATATACCTCACAACCTCTGAGGATGCCTGCCATAGATGCAGACGAAACGTCCGAAGGAAATGCTTCTGGAACATGGCCATACAGCCTGGAAACTTCACAGCAACCCACTGTTAACACTTAGTTATATGCCTTAAGCAAGGAAAACAGCGGTGGCTTTGGCTGTTCTTTCCTCTAAAATAGTGCCTCGCATCCCAGCACCAACCCAGGCTGACCCTGCTTAATTCCCAAAATCAGAAAGGATCTGGAGCCTTCGGGGTAATGATATGGGCATATGTTCGGGTAGGAGCCCCCAATGGCACAGCGGGTTAAACCTCTGAGCTGTCAAACTTGTTGAGTGAAAGGTTGGCAGTTCAAATCCAGGGAGTGTGGTGAGATCCCGCTGTTAGCCCCAGCTTCTGCCAACCTATCAGTTTGGAAACCCAGCAACAGCAAGAGTATCCCTCTGGACAGCTGAACCAGGAAATTCCAACTGGATGGCCCCCCACGAGAATTTTCCTCCAGGGGCAAACCAAGAATGGGCAATTTGGAAGTCCCTGAACAGACTCAGAAGTGGAGTGGGCAGATCAAAAGACAACCTGGCAAAATGGCAAGACCTAAAAGAATCTCACACCTTATGCAACTGCGGAGCAGACCAGACAACTCCACATCTGTATGCTTGTCCACTATGCCCTGCCTCATGTACAGAGGAAGAATTCTTGGAGGCTACAGACAATGCCACTGCTGTTGCCCGTTTTTGGTCAAAAGATATTTAGCCACCTGTGCTCCTTCTATTTTTATCGGTTTTATACTAACTTATGGGATGCTTTTGATACAAAATAAATAAATAAGTTTGAAAACATGCATGGAGACCACTTCGGCGCTCCATGCAGTCATGCCGGCTGCATGACCTTGGAGGCGTCTACAGACAACGCCGGCTCTTTGGCTTAGAAATGGAGATGAGCACCATCCCCCAGAATCCAACACGACTAAACTTAATATCAAGGGAAACCTTTATCTTTACTAAGTTCGGGTCGTGTAGGGCTCTGAGTGTTGGAGGAAGACACAAAAAGGGAGAGTTGGGGGTGCTTTGAATGGGGTTTTCTTGCCTGGTTGTTGTAGGTTTTGTGGCTGTATGGCTATGTTCTAGAAACATTCTCTCCTGACGTTTCGCCTGCATCTATGGCAGGCATCCTGAGAGGTTGTGCGCTCCCGCTTCTTGGCAGGATGGGGTTGGACTGGGTGGTCCCACGAGGTCTCTCCCAACTCTAGGATTTTAGGGTTGGCATCCCGGTGGAGCCATGTGCGAGGCACTCTCTCTCAGCCTCAGAGGAAAGCATCCCAAGGCATCCCCGCCTGCAGTCCCACGGGATCTCTCTCTCTCTCCCTCTCCCACGGGACTGTTCCTGGGGCGCCCAAGGAAGGCGAGAGCGGGAAGGCAGGCTGCGCTCCGCTCCTCGGGGATGTCAACTGAGGATCAGGCGCAGCCTCTGGGCCTGCCCTCCCTCCCTCCCTCCCTCTCACCCGGCCGGGATGTGGCGGGACGAAGCCGCGTTGGGGTGAAAGGAAAGCGAAAAGAAAGGGGCAGCTTACGTATCTGTGGATGAGAGCCCTGAGGCGGCTGCAGTCCATGGCGGCGGGGCGGCGGCGGGCACCTCCTTCTCCGTCTCCCCGGTCTCCGTCTCCTTCTCCTCCTCGCCGCCGCCACTGGCTCCGCTCGGGGTCTCCCGGGCTGGCTCCCACGCAGGGCTCCTCCTGCCTCATGGCAGCCCCCGGAGGAGCGGAGGAGCCGGCCGAGGAGGAGGCGAGAGCAGCAGCAGCAGCATCGCCCTCCCTCCCTCGCTCGCTCTCGCCTGCACCCCGAGCTGCCTCCGAGGAGTCCGCCGCCTCGCCTCGCTTCGCGCCCCGCCGCTCAGTCCAGCGGGCGCCCCGCTCGCCTCCCCATGTGCGCCCCCAAGAGAAGCAAGGAAACGGAGGAGCAGGGAGGGACCAGGGCGGGGAAGGGGAGCCGCTCTCCTCCGGGAAACTTCGCCCGCCGCCGCCGCCGCCCGGGGAGAGGCGCTCCGCACGGCTCCTGCTGCTGCTGCTGCTACTCTCCTCCTCCTCCTCCTCTCGCTCGGCCGCCTCGCCTCGCCTCGCCTGTCCCTCGGGTTCGTCTCCCTTTGATCCTCCCCTGCTCAGCCACCCTGCTCACGTCACGCCGCTCCGGCGAGCATGCGCACTCCGCTTCCCCCGTCACCACAACACACCCCCTTTGCTCTCTTCCTTCTTTCATTCCTTTCCTTACCTTCTCCCCCCCTTTTTTTTCTTTTTCCTTCTTATCTTTTTTTTTTTTTTTTTTTTTCCTTACCTTCTCCCCCCCTTTCCTGCTTCCTCCTTTCCTCCCTCCTTTTCCACCCTTCCTATATCCCTTCCTTACTTTCCTTCTTCCCCTCTTTCCTTCTTCCCTCCTTCCTTCCTTTCCTGTTTCCTACCTCCTTTTCTTTTCTTCCTATATTCCTTCCTTTCCTTTTCCCTTCCTTCCCTTTCCCCTTTTCTTCCTTCTTTCCTGTTTCCTCCCTCCCTTCCTTCCTTCCTTTATATTCCTTCTTTTCCTTTTCCCCTCCTTCCTTCCCCTTTCTTTCCTTCTTTCCTCTATGCCTTCATTCCTTTCCTTCCCCTCATTTCTTGTTTCCTTTCTTTCTTTCTTTCTTTCTTTCTTTCTTTCTTTCTTTCTTTCCTCCCTCCCTCCCTCCCTCCTTTCTTTCCTGATTGCTCCCTCCCTTCCTTTCTGACCTTTTTATATTCCTTAATTCCTTTCCTTCATTCCCTCTTTTCTTCCATTTCCCCACTTTCCTGGTTCCTCCTTCCTTCCTTTCCTGCTTCCACTCACACTTCTTTCCTATATTCCATCATTTCTTTCTTCCCCTTCTTCCTTCCTTTCCTTAATTTCTTCCTTCCTTTCCTTCTCCGCCTTTCCTGTTTCCCCCTCCCTTCCTTGCCTCTTTTTCCTTCCTTCCTTCCCTTCTTCCGTCCCTCATTTTCCTTCTTCCTTCCTTTCCCGTTTCCTCCCTCCCTTTCCTTCATTCCTATATTCATTTCTTCCTTTCCTTCTCTCCGTCCTTCCTTCCTTTTCCTGTTTCCTTCCTCCCTTCTTTTCCTTTCTTCCTATATTCATTTCTTCCTTTCCTTCTCTTCGTCCTTCCTTCCTTTCCTGCTTCCTCTCTCCCTCATTTTCCTTCCTTCCTTCCTATATTTCTTCCTTTCCTTCTTCCCCTCCTTCCTTCCTTCCTTCCTTCCTTCCTTCCTTCCTTCCTTCCTCCTTCCTTCCTTCCCTTCTCCCCCTTTCCTGTTTCCTCCCTCCTTTCCGTCTTCCCTCCTTCCTTCCCTTCCTCCTTTTCCTTCCTTCCTTCCTCCCGCTCCTCCACCCCACTTCCTCCTCCTCCCCCTCCCCCTCGGGAGCCCCTCCCGGGCAAGGCCTTGGGGGCGAAGTCGGGCCGAGCAGAAGGGGAAGGGCGCCTTGGCGGGAAGCGCGCAGTGGAAGGGAGACTTGACAAGAAGACCCTTTTGTGTGTCGCTCTCTCTCTCTCTCTCTCTCGCGACATTCTCCAGGGCGGTGTGCCGTCGAGCCGTTTTGCTCTGCGCTCCTCCCAGGAGGGCCAACCCCTGCATGCCGTTCGATGTTGCCGTGGCAGCTGGAGTGTTACGATAGCGCTAGTGGAGAGTCGCGTGAGCAAGACGGGCCTGGAAAAGTCGCCTGCCTAAAGCCTTGCCGCTGTTTTGCCCGCAGAGCTTTGAGGAGGCAGAACTCCGGAAGGCGAAGCTTCAGGGCAAGGGCAGGTGTGCCGCTCGGGGCCAAAGAAGGCGGCAGAGGGGCGGGCACAGGCAGAGCAAGGCCCCCCTCGCCCGGGGCCCCTCCCTGGCAGCAGGTGTCTTGGCCCCTCCGCAGACTCAGAGCCACGGGCAAGGCTCCGCAGAGGGAGAGACTAGGGGTCCATCTAGACCAGGCGTGGGCAAACCTTCTAACTTGGGGGGCACATGCTAGCACTCCCTGCTTAAGAAGACTGGCTGCCCAGTGGTGGAAGGAAGGGAAGAAGGAAAGAGAAATGGAAGGGAGGAGGAAAGGGAAGAAGGGAAGAATGGAAGGAGGAAGAGGGAGAGACAAAAGAAGGACAAAAGGGAAGGAAGGATGAAAGGGTGGAAGGAAAGGATGGAAGGAAAAAAAGGAAGGAATGGAGGAAGAGAAGGATGGAAGGAGAAAGAGGGAGAGAAAGCGGGAGAGAGGGAAGAAGGGAGGAAAGAGGGAAGGAAAGAATAATAGAATCATCCAGTCCAACCCGCTGCCAAGAAGCAGGAAAATCATATTCAAACACCCCCAACAGATGGCCATCCAGAAGGACAAAAGGGAAGGAAAGAAAGGAGGGTGGAAGGGAAGGAGGAAGGAAAAAAGGAGGGGAGGAAGAGAAGGATGGAAGGAAGGAAAGAGCAAAGCGGGAAGGAAGGACAAAAGGGTGGAAGAGAATGGAGGGAGGAAGAAAGAGGGAAGAGAATGAGGAAAAAGAGAAGGAAGGACAAAAGGGAAGGAAGGAGAGGGAAGGAAGGAGGGAGGGAGGAAAGAGGGAAGGACGAAAGGGTGGAAGGGAAGGAAGGTGGGAGGAAGAAAAGAGGGAAGGAAGGAAAGAGGGAAGGAAGGACTCCAGGCCTGGATTTGTCCATACCTGATGTAGACTGAAGAATTAATGCAGTTTCACACAACTCAAACCACTATGGCACCAAGGGAGCTGCATTTTGCAAGGTCTTTAACCTTCTCTGCCCAAAAGTACCGGTGCCTCACCAAGCCACAACACCCATGGCTCCATAAGTCATGGCGGTTAAAGTGGTGTCAACCTTCAATGGACCTGAAAGTTGTTATCCTCACTATTTATTTTCCTGGAAGAAGTCATGCCTGTTGAACTCTGCTTGACAGATATAATAAATGATATATAAACCTCACTTGCCTAGTTTCCAGCAGGCCTCACAACCTAGGAAGATGCTTGCCATAGATGTGGGCAAAACGTCAGGAGAGAATGCTTTTGGAACATGGCCATAAAGCCTGGAAAACTCACAACAACCCAGTGATTCTGGCCATGAAAGCCTTCAACAGCACATAGATGTAATAAACTTGACAAGTGACCTGTGAATGGACATCAATTTATTTAAATTGTATCCCCTTTTTCTACCCTATGGGATCCACAGCAGCTTACACCCAACCCCTTGATGGTGGTGGTGGTGGTGATGATGATGATGATGATGATAACAACAAGGTTATTTATACCCCACCACCATCTCCCGGAATGACTCGGGGTGGCTCACAAAGAACTCAAAGGTGCAAACACGCAATATACAAAAAGTTCAAAGGTAGCAAAACAAAGCAACAACAACCAACATAAACATCACCCCCCCCCCCCATGAACGCCAATAAAATGCAACAATAGCTGCAGAATACAAAACGGCCACAATCCCAAACTGGGTATAATTCTCAGATGAAAATAAGTTATTTACTAATTGCAAATATATACTGCTTGAAAATATCAGACAGAAAATACATTCACGATCACAGTACAGGTAGTCCCCAAGTTGCAAACAAGACAATTTCTGTAGGTTTGTTCTTAAATTGAATTTGCTTGTAAATTGGAACAGGTACCTTTTTTCAGTGTAACTCCAGTATATAGCTTTGGGTATCATAGGGAAGGGTTAACATTCTGTGGTATTTGTTTTGCTCACTGTGAAGATTTCACCTCACTTTCTGTCCTTGTGATAATTGGATTTTGACCAATTTGGCTTGTTGCGAAAATGAAGATTGGTGCTACAGCTTCAGTGGAGACACCATTTCCCCATAATAACTCTTCTAGGAGTGAGCTTCCATTCCTAGTGGTAGATTTCTCTCACTTCCTGTTGTCTCACCCCCATTCTTAACTAGGAGTTGCTTGTAAGTCAGATGTTTGTAACTCAGTGACTGCCTGTATATGTTTCATGCTTCATACACATTGTTTTGAATAACACCATGCAACCTCTGTCATGAACTCAGCATGTTGGAGTAAAGATTTTTTAACTGGTCAGCCTTTACTGGAGGATAGAAATACTGATTTTTTTCAGCCCACAAGGGCTTCAGCCTTGAGGGATCAACACACACCAACAAACTTCAAGTATAATATTATAACAATTTTCTTCCATAGTTAAAAAAAAGTGAAAAAGAAGATAATTTTTGTAGTTTCTTCAGGTGGAATTCTTAATCAGAACTTGTACTGGATATCTTTTAATAGGAATGCCAGGTTCTAAGGAATTAAAATTGGAATGGGATCACCAGATTTATATTATTATTATTATTATTATTATTATTATTATTATTATTATTATTATTACTACTACTATATTTCTTACCTATCTTGTTGCACCCCAGGCCTGGAAACACCTATGACCACTGCACCACACAATATTCTGGAAATATAAGACAACAGTTTATTGTAAAACACATAAAAAGCCTATTAAAAAGCAGGAATAAGAAAAGGAAGAAAGGTTTAGCAACAGGTGGTAACCAAATAATAATCAAAATGTATCATAAAGTTCCAGAGGTGGCAAAGTCCAAGAACAGCCAGAAATCACAGATACAGCATACATTCACAAGCAAGAAGGTATAACTAGTAAAAACTTGAACAGGAGTACATTAACAGGAACATAGAAAACTTCCAGGATATATTAAATCCAAAACCAAGGAACAAGAGAACTCAGGCTTAGCTTCTCACGCTAACACTGCATTGCCTGAACTTAAGGTAAACAACTTGTTGTTTAATAGACACCCATGAAAGCATTACAATCCCATGAATTTTCTCCACAACTTTCCCACTTAATCTCTCTGAACAACGGAATCTATTTTCAGCTCTGATTTGTAAACAAAGAGTTTTGTTGAGCTCCATAGCTACAGGTGGTTTCTCCTGTGAACCCCCCTTATCACTCAGCTCCTTCTTATTCCTTATCTGCTGTTGCTACTTCTGACTCACTTGAATGGCCTTGAGGGACTGCACTTTCCGAGCTAGTTTTCTCACAGAGAGAACAATCATTCCCAAACCTGAATTTCCCAGATTTGAGGGCCCATCACTTTGTGCCACAGGAAAGCTCAGAATCCTCTCTAAATCATCAGTTAAACCATCATCCTCTGGCTGATCTTCAACATACCTCTCCTCGTGGTTCGAGGCAGGTTACATAATAATAAA